AAAACGCTGAGTTTGCAACCATGGTTCGTGAGCATGGTTTGAAATTTATTGGCCCCTCCCCTGAACATATTCAGCTGATGGGTGACAAAATCACAGCAAAAGATGCTGTTCAAAAACTTGGTATCCCTGTAGTGCCTGGTTCTGATGGCCCTGTTACAGACATTGAAAGCGCTGTGCAGATTGCCGAAGAAATGGGCTACCCTGTGATCGTAAAAGCAGCCTCTGGCGGTGGTGGGAAAGGCATGCAAGTCTGTCACAATACAGAAGAACTGCGTGAAAAAATTCCTCTTGCACAAACAGAGGCCAAAATTAACTTTGGCAACGATCAAGTTTTCGTTGAAAAGTACCTCATGAAACCACGCCATATTGAAATCCAGGTCTTAGGGGATTCTTTTGGCAATGCTGTTCATTTAGGCGAACGCGACTGTTCTCTACAACGCCGTCATCAAAAAGTCTGGGAAGAAGCGACCTCTCCTGCTGTTACAGAAGAAAAACGTCACAAGCTCGGCGAAATCGTCCGTAAAGCGGTTGCTGAAATGGGCTATGAGGGCGCCGGGACATTTGAGTTCCTTTATGAAAATGACGAATTCTATTTCATCGAAATGAACACACGCATTCAAGTGGAGCATACGATTACAGAGATGGTCACCGATGTTGACCTTGTTCGAGAGCAAATTCGTGTTGCTCAAGGCGAAAAGTTGAGCTTTTCTCAAAAAGATGTTCAATTCCGTGGCCATGCCATCGAATGCCGCATTAATGCGGAACACCCTGAAACATTTGCCCCCTCTCCAGGAAAGATTACAGGCTACCACGCTCCTGGTGGAATCGGCGTTCGCGTTGATAGCCACCTTTATGCAGGGTATTCTATCCCCCCACATTACGACAGTATGATCTCTAAACTGATCGTCTTTGCAGACACCCGAGAAAAATGCATTCTTCGCCTACGTCGCGCCCTGGATGAATATATTATTGAAGGCCCCCAAACGATTATTCCTCTACACCAGAAACTGGCACAAAATCCCGATGTTATCGCAGGGAATTATGACATCCACTGGCTAGAAAACTGGCTAAAAGAAGAAGAGGAAAAGAAAGCGAGCGCCGGACAAGCCGCTTAAAGCATTGTGCACCCAACCTTAAAACTGTTCACTAAAAGTTAGTGCTTTTCACAATACCCTTTAAAAAAGGAGGGTGGCATGGCTGAATACTGTATTTTATGTGGCGACGGAATATTTCTTAACGTCCCAAAAGAAGATGGAAAACATCACTTCGACCTCTTATACCAAAAATGTGGTCATTGCGGCCCTTATGGATATTTCAAAAAAGATGAAAGCTCTTTAAAAAACCTTTCCCAAGAAAGCCGAGAAAACCTCATAAAAACCTTAAAAGAAAAAAAGGGTCATAAAACACTCCTCATATATAAAGATGAAGAATCAAATTACTGGTCTGTAAGTACAGACAGTTCCTCCATGATTCAAAACGATGATAAAGGATTATGACCTCACCATCGATAACGCTGACCTTTCTTGACTAAAAAGACTTTGGAGCCCACCTTGAATAAAAATTACTCCACGATTATTCTTCGTCCTCGTATTCCCAATCCCTCAATTTCGCTTCCATCGAAATAACATAACGCTTCGTATTAGTTGTGCTTTTATTATAGATTGAAATTGTATACTCACAATCGATGTAAACGCCATTATCTTCATGATGGAAAACACCCGCAAAATACCGATCTCTGGTCGTTACATCGAGTATAATCTCTTCATTATAAAATTTTTTCAAACTGACTTTTCCGCGTCCAAGACCGACCCTTTCATCTTGCAGGGCTTTTAATGTTTTGGCGGTCCTGATATGAGCCGGATGGACTACCCAAGTTCGTTTTTTCTTTTTAAAGTGGTGCTTATAATAATCTGAATCATCCATTGAAGCCTTTACGCTAATAGGCGTTAACTTTGCCACCGTTCGAAGCATCCGCTTCACGTCCCCTCTTGTGACCAAAAGGACAATACTTAGCAATCCCTGGCTCAGCTTCACGAACAGCGGATTGAACAGAAAAGGAATAAAGCACTAAAATGGTAAATAATAAGTATCTCATATATGCTCCCTGTACCTTTTCAATCCGCTTATACTCAAGACAATTACAAAACAAATATGTTAATAAGCCGTTAAATAGACTCATTAAAATTCTTCATGTCTCACTTCTCCAGCATATAAACAAAAGCCCTCCTCCTCTCCTGATAAATTTATAAAATTATTAAAAAACTTCTCTTGAGGCTTGATTAAAGGCATCATATCTCCTTTAAAGACAGGAGTACTTTAAGCAAAGGAGGACAAGCTTATGTCAGAAACAAAACTCATCACAACGGATTCTGGGTACAATACGAAGATCTTGAAGTGGGCCAAGGGGACACGCCCGAAACGGGGAACACCGTTGTTGTAAATTACACAGGCTGGCTTAAAGACAACAACGAAAAATTTGACAGCTCTGTCGATCGTGGGGAACCTTTCTCTTTTCCAATCGGTCTTGGGTACGTCATCAAAGGCTGGGACGAAGGGGTTGCCACAATGAAAGTAGGTGGGAAACGCCGTTTAACCATTCCTTCAGACCTTGGATATGGGGCTGTAGGCGCAGGAGCTGCCATCCCCCCCAATGCAACACTTGTCTTTGATGTTGAACTTTTAGGTGTTCAATAAAACAATAGAGAAAAAGCTCTCCCTTCTTCGCAGAAATGAGAGAAGGAGAGCTTTTTACATTTTCGTCAAAGAAAGATGCTAAAAAGGTTAATTATACTAATTGGCTTCTAGCAACCTATAAGCATCAAATTTTCAAAAAATGCATCGTGATTTTGTTTCAAAAAAGTTTCTTTCTTTTTACTTCTTGCACACTAGCGGAAAATTCCCCCGAAAAAGCGCTTAACCGCTTTTCCTTCCTTGGTGCGCGCAAGTTTTTTCACAGCTTTAGCAACTGCTTTGCCAAGACCTTCTGCTATTTTTACAGCTTCCTTCCCCTCTTTAGTCCCAACGGTTGACCGTGAAGAATAAAAGAGCGGAAAAAAATACTGCTGCAAAAGAACTAACTTAGACTAAAAAACAGAGAGGAAGCCTCACAATGTTCACTTCTTCTAAGCTTCTTTATTCTCTCCCTCTTGTGCTTCTTCCAAGCCTTTATCAGTGTTTGCTCCTTCTTCCTTCTCCATAGGCTTAAGCGCCTCGCACCGCAGGGGCCAAATGTCATAAACAGGGTGTTCTAAAGCAGAGCTTGCAGGACTAGAAGCAAACATCCAATTGGAAAATAGGATCTCCTTTGGTTGATTTCGAACAGGCACTTCTGAAGAGGGTGTATCAGAAGCCAATTCAAGTTTGCCTTGAAGCGCAGCTGTTTCAACGACCTTAATACCTTTTTTCCCCGGCATATCTTCCCAAATATCGAGCAATACTTTTGATTCTGGCGGATCCTCTAGAAGACTTTGATGGCAAGCATGCACAACAAAGCGCAATGTTCCAAATGCAACCGTTACCCCTATAGGCGCATACACCTCGGAAACGCGTGTTGTAATTTTATCAAGAACACGCATAACCGCAATATTTTCCTCTGCTTTTGTTCCATAAGAAAAACAGAAAGAACAAACGCCAAACAACATGAAAGTTCTAAAGATCCGAATCATCTTTTGATCTCCACCGAGAAAAACATAAAAAATAGTACTATTTCTTAAAAAACAGTATTTGCTCCATCAACACATTAGCGTTCTAGCACTTTTTTACTCAATCTCAAACTAAGGAATCCAGCATTCTTTCAGAAAGTCTAAGTGTAAAGTACTTAAATATATTATAAGGGTTCCTATTCTTTCAGAGGAATGTGCAGACCTTGTTCATTAGAAAACTGCCTTAGATCTTGACGCAAACTACGCTTTAGAGAAGGAAAGAGTTCCTCCATCCGTTCTTGAAGGCAGGAGATATCTAAACTGCGTATAAGTCGCTTTATCGGTTCGATAGAGGATGCATTCATCGATAAGTTTCGACATCCTAAGCCAAGCAGAGCTAGAGCCTCCAAGGGTTGCCCCGCCATTTCTCCACATACACATACAGGGACATTAGCCTGGTTACACTTATAGATTTGGTACTTCAATGAAGACAAAAATGCTGGAGACAAAACATCATATCGATTCGCTCGACCACTTTTTGTTCGTTCTGACGCAAAGAAAAATTGAAATAAATCGTTACTCCCAATAGACACAAAATCTGCATACATCAGCAAAGCTGGCATTTGCCAAACTAGTGCCGGCACTTCCATCATCACACCCATAGAAATTTTTTTAGGAAGCTTTTGATTATGCTCCTTAGCCCGTGCCACCTCTAAATCCAACAGATGACGTACTGCTTTAAACTCAGCCACTTCTGAAACCATAGGAATCATAATAAAGAGCTGCTGTTCCTCCGCTGCGCGGATTAAGGCACGCACCTGTTGACGCAAAAGAGCTGGGCGATCAAGGCCCATACGAACGGCACGAACCCCCATCGAGGTTTCCCGACCCAAACTTTTCAAATAAGGAAGCGGCTTATCTGCACCAATGTCTAACGTTCGAAAAATCACAGGCAGTCCCGCAGCTTTTTTCAAAATAGACCGGTAAAGCACTTCTTGGCGATCTACTCCTGGCCAACGATCATGAATCATAAAAGAGACTTCAGTTCGAAACAAACCAACCCCTTCTGCACCAACATTATTTAATGCTTCTAAGTCGTGAGGCAATCCAGCATTGATTTTTAATGAAATTACAACTCCATCTTTTGTCACTGCTGGAAGGTCGATTATAGACGAATAAACCTTCTTATATTTATGTGTTTGTGACATTCGCGTGCGAAAAACATTTTGAATATCAAGAGATGGGCTCAAGGTTACTTTACCTGCATCAGCATCTAAACAAACCAAATCACCTTCTTGCACATGCTGTAAAAAGTTTGTTCCTTGAGACAAAACAGGAATCTTCAATGAACGAGCCATAATTGACAAGTGAGAAGTACCCCCCCCTTGCCCTAAAACAATCCCCTTTAAATTTCCATTTTTAGAGAGTTCTAAAAGCTCTGAAACAGCCATAAAAGGAGCAATTGCAATAAAAGGCGTTTCTGGAATTTTCTCCTCTGTTAGAACTTCTTGTTTTTTCAAACTTTCTAATAAACGTCGTGAAAGATCTGCGATCTCATCAACATAGCTTTGCAAATACGGATCTTTTTGAATTTTTGAACGTGTTTGTAATTTTTCCAAAACACTTTCAATAGAGCGTTCTGCCGAGATCTTCTTTAAAGAGATTTCTTGATCAAGGTGCTGCCGCCAACCTTCATCTTCTATTAAGACAAGGGTAGAGTCTAAGAGTTCCTCTGCTATCTGTTCTTGATGTTGTACTTTCAGAGCCATAATTTCCTGCTTCACAGCCTGAAAAGCCCCTTCCAAACACTCTATCTCTTCTTCTACACCTTGGAACAGTTAATTCTTATTTGCTGTTTTTAATGGCTTATTTTTCCAAAGAAAGGCAGGCGCCATTGCCAACCCGGAGCTTAAACAAACACCTTCAACAAAAATAGAAGGCCGCCCTCCTTGAGAAAGTTTTTTCACCTTCTCTTTCTTCCCCCTTAATTTAAGCTCTTCCCTTTTTTGAGCGAAAAGTTCCCCTCTTTTATCTTTCATGCGCGCTGGCGTTCTCCCGTATTCTGTTCTGTGCTTTGACGCGCTTCAAAAACTTGGAGTGCTTGATCTAAAAGTTCTTCGATAATTTCCTTCGTGGGTTGCTCCTTTTTAACAAGCCCAACACTTTGGCCTGCCATCAATGAGCCCGTTTCTATATCTCCATCAACAACAGCGCGCTGTAAAGCTCCCGCCCAAAAATGCTCAATCTTTAATTGCGCCTCCTCCTGAGAAAGTTCCCCCTTATCAAAAGAATCAAGAGCTTCTCGTTGAACTTGGAGAAATTTTTTCTCCCCATCATTGACAAGGCCACGCACAGGAATCACCGGAAAA